TATTTAATAATAAAAGAAATGTATAAAACACAAGCCAAAAGAGAGAGCCAACTAATATTAGTCAAAAGTAAAGGATAATTTTTGTTTTTTGAAGTACTAAAGATCACACCATAGACTAATAAAAAAATTGCAGCTACTACCAAAAAAATTTCGGGAAATAATAATTGAAAATCATTGTCAAACAAAAATGTTTTATAAGTAGTGGATAGCGTAATTAATGATTCATCATGAATATTGAATAACATAAAATTTTGAACAAAGAATCTAATTTTTAGAAAAAAAACTTACAATTTATCAGTAACACTTTCTCTTTACAACACAAAAACAAGGTCCTTGTTTTAAGAATTCCGAACAGGCGAACCTGTTCATTTTACCCCCAAATTCTTCTAATTTGGAAATAATTTTATGAATTTCTTTCCATATGGTTCACTTCATTTCCAAATTCTTCTAATTATTTCCAAATTCTTCTAATTTGGAACCGAACCATTTGACAAATTTGGAAATAATTAGAAGAATTTGAAATTAATTCATAGAATTTATTTCCATTTTTTCTTAAAAAATGGAACAACCATTCTTCTAATTTGGAACCAATTGGAATAATCAATCACTTAGATAATTGGAAAAGGAAAAAAAAAGTTTATTGTAAGTTAAAAGACTTTTTTTATTAATAATTACAATACATAAGTATACAAAATCTAAAAAACTTGAGATACTAAACTAAATACCTAATTCTAGATTCTATAGAGTCAGAAGATATCTTCTTCATTTCCATTTTTTTTATTATTGTAACAATAATAAAGAAAATGGAACCAGATGTCACATTCTTTCAGGTAATTTGGTTACCGTAAATTTCCAATAACATGTAATTGAAAAGTCATCAGCTCCATTCTTCAATTTACTTCCAAATTTAAAAAATTTGGAAGTAAATTGAAGACCGTTGACAAAAAAAGAACCAAAAAGTCCAATAGAATTTTTTTGAGGTTAGGGGCAGATTCGAACTGCCATTTTAGGATTTGCAATCCCGCACATTACCTTTATGTTACCCAACCATTTTTCTTCGTTTCACTTCCAATTTTGAAGAATTGTTTCGGTTTGTTCGGGTTTTTAAGAAAAAATAAAAATAAATTAGAAGAATTATTTCATTTCCAAATTAGAATAATTTGGAACCATTTGTCAAATTTATTTCCATTTGGTTCTTTTTTTTTCTATTAAAAAAAAAAAAGAACCAAATGGAGAAAACCATTCTTCTAATTCGGAACCATAGTGACTCTATGTCTTTAATATTCCATTTGGTCTTTTGGACCAAATGGAATAAAAAAAACTAAACTTACCACCAGCGATAACGGCTATAAGCACGATTCATTTGCGCTAAACGGTGTAATTCATCTCTTTTTTGTCGAGCTTGTCCAGATTTACGAGAAGCTTCTAACATTTCATCCGCCAAACATACTGAAAATTCTAATTTTGAATTTTTTTGTCTTTTTTTTGCAGATTCAATAATCCACTTTAAAGCTAAGGTTTCTTGTTTTTTTTTTGATAAAACTGCAGGAACAATGTACGTAGATCCAGCAACCCTAACTTTACGAACCTCCAAATTTGGGACAAGATTTTCAAGAGCTTTTGAAATTACACGTAAAAGTGTAAAATTTGATTGAATTTCTTTAATACTTAAATTTTCTAATTTTTTATTAGAATAATTATGTTTATCTTTCTCCAATTTTTCAATTTTGTTTCCATTTTCTTTTTCTTTTCCAAATTGGTCGAATTTGGAATCAAAGAGAACATCTTTTTTTAGTCTTTTTTTTAAAATTCTTAACATATTAAAAAGAATTTTAGATGCTTTTATCTTTTTGCCATCAATCATTAATAAATTGGTGAATTTTTTAAAAAAAAGATCAAAATCAGTTGTATTTTTTGCTAGATTTAAATCATTGGTTCTTTTATTATTATTGTCAATAGTCTGTTTGATTTTTTGTGAAATTTTATAAAATTTTTTAAGTTTAGTACCATGAGTTCCAAAATAGAGGTGATGACTTTCTTTTTTTTGAAAAAAAGAATCACCAGTTGTTCTTTTTTTCGAAAAAAAGAAAGTCAATGGTCGTTTTGTAATAAACGGGTCGTTCTTTTTTTCGAAAAAGAGAACAGGTTCTTCTATTTTGGTACAAAATGAAAAAAAATTTAAAGAATTAGAAAATGAACTCTTTTTAGAATTTGTTCCATTCTTCAATTTGTTTCCAAATTTGGAAGTAAATTCAAGCCCATACTTGTATTTAGGAGTGAAAGGGTTTTTGAGTGCTTGGAATTGTTTTTGATCCCAAATTTTATTAATCGTATTCATAATTATTAAATAATCTTTTTATAAATTAATGATTACATTATTTTTAAATTAGCACACTTGTTATTTCCAAATTTGTCAAATTTGGAAGTGAACCAAATTGGTCCAATTTTCAAGACGTTCCAAATTTGTCAAATATGGAAAATCAGGTTTAGTTTTTTTATTTTTCTTAAAAAAATCAAGAAAAATAAAAAAACTAAAGAGGTAGTCTTTCAAAATTGTTACAATTTGAAAAAA